TTACACTAGCAACGAAAAGTCAGGTTGTCGTTACTGGTCCTACGCTCTGAACTTGGGCAAGAAACAAAAGCAGGATAGATGACGACGTCGTTACTTCGGGTGCCAAGTAGAATATGCAAATAGCATTGAGCACATTGTCTATAAGGGGATGTGCTGCCCAGAGTTTCAAGTTGGCGATGCACCTTAATGAATACATGAATGCTTTTAAATAGTCAATTGTGATTTGTGTCTGAAGATGGTAGCTTCAATAAGCTCTTTTGATAAACCTTGGTGTAAAACACTGCAACCCTTCTTTGGATACTAGCGGTAGACTGTTACAGCCACAGTATATCTTGCTGACATCTTAGGGAGCACCTCTTCGCCCAACTCATAATACCTTTTGGGCAAGCTCCAAAAGATCAAAGAAAGCTTCGCGCTCCAGATCTGTTTTGGAAAGTCCAAGTCCAAGGACCAGTATTCGTCGGTCATCAGGCGATCTGAGACAAATTTGGCTGGCAATTTGTGCTGCGTAAAGCTGACCTAGAGTTTCACGCTCCTCACCCCCTCCACCAAATAGCGTTGTTGGTGTGAGATGTGTTGATGGAAGAAGGCCTTTGTTTGAGCTGGGCAGATTCATCTCAACAACTCCAGATGATGACCCTGTCAAGGGAACTTGTATCTGTTACGATGTCAGCTGTAGTAGAGCTTGAAGACTAGGAGTACTCAATTACCCATTGTGAAAGTCGGCCTTCTTGGGAGATAGTGATGAGGATCTTGTCAGCGAAACTGGTGGATGTAATCTCTGTAGCTATGCCATTCACGAGACCTGAAGCCTCTCTAGATCTTGAAGGGAAAGAGTCTTGTCTAACATCAACAGTCGCCATCTTTGAAGAAGTATTATGCTTTAGTAGAGTTGAGCTGTAGCTTTGAATCCCATTCGAGCTGTTAGGTTCAGGCGTTGCCGCTGAGCTAGGCGGCCCCACCACCCCGCACTATACCAAAAGCAGGTCCAGGTTCTGGCGGTAATTCACGGCAGAACGACTTTTGATCCCAAAATTTGATGAAATTCATCGTCGCATCTGCGGCTTGGGTTGATCCTCCAACGTATTAACATTTCATGCCATTTTCGCAAAATTTATTGTCAATTCGTTAGACAATAATTCAAAATGGCCAAATACGTTCCTCGTCAACGCAAGCACAAGGTCCTCGCCCGTGAACGAGCCAAGGAGAATGCTCAGCATGAAGTCCAGGACAACCCAAACCAGGAGATTCTCCTGCCGACGGCCAAGGCTGATCGTGAGGCCAAAAAGGCACAGATGAAGGCAGAGCTTCGCCAAGAAGGCGCGAAAATGAGCGGAAAGAAGGCCAAGCGATTAGAAAAATACATTGAAGGCAAGCTGCGCAAGGACGAGTCCCGCGAGCTGATGGCCAAACTTGCTGAGCAACAAATCGACACAACCTTGTTCTCGAGCAGCCGAGTCCTTGGGCAGGGCCGCGAGACCAAGAAGGAGGCATTGAGGCGGGCTATGAGAGAGGAGAAAGCTGGTTTGGAGGGTGGTGAGGAGCGAAACGAGATTCTTCTTGAGAAGAGAAAAGAACTAAACGCGGATGAAGAGATCTCGAGCGATGAGAGTGAAGAATCTGAGCCCGACGAACAAAAGTCATCCAAGCCCACACCAACTCCCGCGCCCGCGCCCACACCCACACCCACACCCACACCCAAAGAGTCAGATCAACCGAAAACAGAAATTTCTGCGCCAACAATTGGTTCGGGTCTGAAGAGACCGCTCGAGGTCGACGACGAAGGACGACCGGTGATCAAAAAGCGACAGAAGCGAGGCGGAGTCAAATCAAAATTCTCCCTGGCGCCAATCGAAACGCCACTTGAGCTCGAGTCTGAAGAAGCCGACAGTGTTGCAAGTGATAGCGATAGCGATGAGTGGAATGGTTTCAGCGACGACTCGGCTGAAAAGGATGATATCGCAGAGGATGACAGCGAAAGCGAGGAGGAAGATGATGAAGAATCCAGTGAGGGATCCGAAAAGTCTGATGAGGACATGGAAGACGCAGACGAGAACAAAGCACAGAGGTCATCGTCTTTCAAGGCATGGGCACACCAACAGCGAAACGAAGCTCTAGGTTATCAATCCATCGAGGGAACAACAGCAAATCTTGAAATCCCCAAGCCAGAAAATTTTGTTCCCCGAGCCCCTGAGCAAGATCCTTTACCGATGGAACTACAACCAACGCAGAATATCAATCGAAAGGTTTACAGCGTAACGGTTACGAGAATACCAGAAGTCCAGGAGGCTAGGTTAAAACTTCCTGTGGTATCAGAGGAACAAAGGATAATGGAAGCGATTCATAACCATGACATTGTCGTTGTTTGCGGTTCCACAGGTTCCGGAAAGACTACTCAAATTCCTCAGTTCTTGTATGAATCTGGTTATGGTTCCCCCGACTCGCCAACGCCTGGTATGATTGGTATCACTCAGCCCCGTCGAGTCGCTGCTGTCAGTATGTCGAAGCGAGTTGGTGAGGAACTTGGTGATAAGTCTGAGGTGGTGGCCTACCAGATCCGTTTCGAGGGCACAGTTGATCCTAAGACGGCTATCAAGTTCATGACTGATGGTGTTTTGCTACGAGAAGTTGCGCAGGATATTACACTGAAGAAGTATTCGGCCATTGTCATCGACGAAGCTCATGAGAGAAGCGTCAACACGGATATCCTGATTGGTATGCTCAGCCGAGTCATCAAGCTCCGAGCAGAACTAGCAGCAGAGGATCCTACAGTCAAGCCTTTGAAACTCATCATCATGTCTGCTACATTGCGGATAGAGGATCTCACCATGAATCCGACGCTTTTTGCCACTCCACCGCCAGTATTGGAGGTTGAGGGCCGACAACATCCTGTCACCATTCATTTCTCCCGAAGAACTCAGCATGATTACGTGGAAGAGGCCTTCCGAAAGATTAGCAGAGGCCATAAGAAGTTACCACCTGGTGATATCCTTGTGTTCTTGACTGGCCGCAACGAGATTCTAGAGCTCAGCAAGAAGCTAAAGGCTACATTTGGCGGTCCAAAGACTGCGGATGGACCCAAAGTACAAATTTCTGCTAGCGAGGCTCCTATTGAGGTCGAAGATATTGAGTTTGGAGACGTGGATGACCGTAATGGCGATGATTTTGATGAGATACCCACAGATGACGAAGATGAGGACGATGAGGATGAGTTCCAGATCGAAGAGGACCAGGAGGTTGCACCATTAAAGATGCGAGTCTTACCTCTTTACTCCTTGCTTCCAACACGCGAGCAGATGCGAGTCTTTGAGCCGGCACCTGAGGGCACACGAAACATCATCTTGGCAACCAACGTTGCGGAAACCAGTTTGACTATTCCTGGTATTCGATATGTCTTCGACTGTGGACGATCAAAAGAGAGACAGTACGATCGTCTAAGTGGAGTTCAGAGCTACGATATTGGATGGATCAGCAAAGCCAGCGCAAATCAGCGATCTGGTCGTGCTGGCCGTACCGGTCCTGGCCATTGTTACAGACTCTACTCCTCTGCAGTATATGAGAGAGATTTCCCACCTTTCACAGATCCTGAGTTGTTGCGCATGCCTATTGAGGGTATCGTGCTACAGCTCAAGGCGATGAACCTGCAGCATGTTGTCAACTTCCCCTTCCCTACACCACCTGATCGACGAGCGCTGGCTAAGTCTGAGAAGCTGTTGACATATCTCTCTGCTATCTCCTCGACAGGACAAGTTACGCAGATTGGTCAAACCATGTCTGTGTTCCCTCTGTCTCCTAGGTTTGCGCGCATATTGCTGGTTGGCCATCTTCATGACTGTATCCACTACACAATTGCTCTTGTTGCTGGTTTATCAGCCGCCGAAATTTTCCTTCCTGAGAACCAGGCGATTCCGGCGCTCGCAGCAAAGGATGAAACCGCTATCCGTACAACATCAGACGTCATTGCAGAAGATCGTCAAGCCAATGTGCGAAAGATGTTTAACGAGGTTCACAGGAACTTCTGTTACCTAGACGATAAATCCGATGCTATCAAACTTCTGCAAGTCGTGGGTGAGTTTGCTCATGAGCCTACAGAGGAATGGTGTGAGAGCCATTTTGTCAGATACAAGGTGCTTAAGGAAATCCAACAGCTGCGACGACAAATCACAGAGCTGTTGAGGACAAATGTTTCGGCTTTCACCAACCTGAAATACCAGGATAAGCTGGATCCTCCATCCCCCAAACAAGTCGCTGCTCTGAAGCAAATGGTCGCGGCCGGCTTCGTGGATCAGGTTGCTATTCGAGCAGATCTTACACCCAACCCTCCTGAGCAATTCCGCAAGCCTCGCCGGTCCATCGATGTTCCATATATCCCCTTGATTCCTATCCACGCTGGCAAGGAGGTTGAAAGCGACCGTGCAGTGTACATCCATCCCACCTCACCTCTTGCCCACATCAGTATTCAGGAATGCCCCGAGTACATAGTTTACTCTTATCTCCAGCGAGCTGCGCAATCAGTTGATGCGGAGAAGCGTCCCAAGACAAGAATGCATGCCCTTACAGACGTAACTGGCGGGCAACTAGCAGGGTTGGCCAAGGGAACACCCCTTATCACCTACGGCAAGCCGATTAAGGAGCTCAAGCCCACAACGGGCACGGATGGAGCTGCAGTTCGAGAGTGCTTTGTGGTTCCATATTTGAGAGCCGAGAGCACCGGTGGTCAAGGATGGCCTCTCCCTGCGAAGAAGGTGAAGCAGAGAAAGGTTCCTGGCAAGGGATGGGTTGTGGAGTAGAGGTTGCAGATATGGGGAGATGTTTTTGATAATTTAGTATTAAAAGTTGACATAGACAAGATACCTCGTGGTTTATACAAAATAAGATCTCATGTATATTTACGTTCTGAGTCTCGGCAGTAAATGGTGTTGTGTGATTGGGTGATCTCGACGTCATTATGCAAGCATGATGCTATAAGATGAGAACTTCAAAGAACACGGCTTCAGTTGAGATCATAAGACTTGAAAGTGTGCGTTTCAGAGTCATTTTCTCATGCGATTTTGGACAAGTTAACCATAAATATGTCTGAAAGATCCAATGCCCTCTTCCCAGGCGTGGCTTTGGTCACTGGCGCCGCATCGGGTATGGTCCACTGCTCCAAATAACTAATATTCGGTTCTTCATCTAATGATACAAGGTATTGGACGTCAAGTCGCTATATCATTTGCCATAGAAGGGTGTCGGAGGCTCGCCCTGTTTGACAAAGACAGCACAGGTCTGAACGATACCAAGGCGACCATCAAAACTACGAGCCGAGATGCAAATCCAGATGTGTTCATCAGACACGTTGATAACCTTGACACATATGAAGTTTCCAGAAACATGGAACTTGCTATCAAGCATTTCGGGCGTATTGACTATGCCGTCAACTGTGCTGGTATGTCTATACACTGTTTTACTTTGACTTCTACTCACAATGGCATTGGAAAGGAATATATGGTCCGACAAAGCAGAGTCATGAAGTCACCCCTGAAGAGTTCGATCATGTTATAAATACCAACTTTCGTGGTCTGTGGCTGTTTGCACGAGAAGAGCTAAAATATATGACCAGTCAAGATGTTGGAGTTACTCATGATGGACGGCCTGGGTTTAGAGGTTCTATTGTCAATGTTGGAAGCAACCTCGGCCTCGTGGGGAAACCAAAAACTCGTGAGAATATATTGTACCTTGAACAGGCTTATATGCGGGCTGACAGCTGGGACAGCGGTATATAGCGCCTCAAAGGCAGCTATCATTAGTTTGACGAGAAGTGATGCTATCGATGTAAGTCCAACTGATGGGTTGACCCTACCTTCTTATTTAACACATACAGTATGCCAAAGATCAGATTCGTGTTAACTGCGTCTGCCCTGGAGTTATTGAGTAAGTTATCTCTTGATCTCCCTGTACGCATACTGACCTCGCAGAACTCCCATGACGGCTAATGTTCCGGAAGATGACCCGGCCGTACAGACTGCCGTCATGAAAAGAAAAGGGACTCCGCAGGAAGTAGCAGATGCTGTTTTGTTCTTATCAAGTCCCAAGGCTTCTTTCATTCAGGGTGCTGCGTTGTCAGTTGATGGGGGCTATACTATTAGTTAGGGACGTTAAAACAGATGATAAGAGCACAATAATGAACTGTATTGGGGTATCAAACTACTCTATAAAAACTAAGAACAACACTTTTCCCCAGATTAACGCCACGCCCTTGCTGGTAATAACTCAAGACGCAGCTGGTGTGCTAGTAGAGTTGACCATTTTGCTCTTCTTACGCCTAGGCTTGGGAGCAGTCGCTGATTTGGGTGTTCTCTCCTTGCTCTCCTTCTTATCATCAACCTTTGTATTGATCGTCGGCGTATTAATACTCCTAATGGGGCCATCCGTCTTTGCAATTTGTGGTGGTTTGCGGCCTGTTGTTGTGAGGTGGAACTCTCCTGGGCGACCTGTGATAGGGTTCTCGTCGATGTATTCACCGCCGTACTTCATGTGAATCATGAAAGACTCTTCTGCTAGTCTTTCCAGTGACTTCTCGTCATCTTTCTGCGCGGCTGCTGTAGGGGCAGCTGGAACTTTGCTAGCTTCATCTGATACAGGCATTGGGGTCGCCGCTGCAGAGGTATGGATCCTTGGCTTTGTTGATATCTTGGCTGATGGGAGCTGGTAAAAGTTACCCATAGAGGGACCCCATTTTCTGACTGATTCAGCAGTTGTCACAGCATTGGTAACTTGCGAAGATATAGTCAACTACAATGATGAGGTTAGAACCGTTCGCGAAACAACTGCTGCAAACAACATACAATTCTTGCTGAAAGAATGGCACTGAGAGTGGGTGCCATGTAGATATTCTCCCCCACCACGAAGTATGTGGCGTGAACAGTAATCTCATCGTCGTCATACGCTGACTTTCGTCTCGTTTGCTTGCGAATGACCCATACACCTGTACCAGCTCCAGGGCCAGTTTCAGCAGGCTCTTCGACAACCCTGAATTCAAGGCCTGACATGGTGTTAAGATGTGTCTCGAAGGCTTCGCGTGTCTGAATGACTGGATACATCGATGGTACATTCATGGCTTGGTTATATACAACAGCGTTGTTCGACGTGCGCTCGAAGAAGGGCGATTCTGCGAAGTAAAAGAGGATGGTGTTATTGTGCAGGCCGCCCATTTGTTGAATCGCCATAGGAGAGCGCCATTGGATCTCGTCGAGGGGAGGATCGTTTGGATTCGACATTGTGAAGAATCGGGGTTATCTTGTTAGTATTATTGGGGCAGCTTCCTTCGTTGTATTTGTTGCTATGAATGGTAATATTTCCTTGGAGTTTAGTTAAAGGTTCAAGAAACGTATTGAAGCTCCAGCTCTGTTTGACGTGGGGTTCCGCTTCTAGCGCGTTGCAAGGCGGCCGTGTTCCGCCTCAGCGGCTCATCCAGTAAGAGGCGCCGCGCATCAATTTCAACCTCCAATCTTCGATCTCACAACCCTCATAGTTCATCACGACGAAAAGAAACCCCTCCATATATCGACACCAGAAAGGGATCTAATCTAGACAAGACCACCAGCAGCCAAAAACACGCCATGGATCTGCTTTCAAGTATCCGCAAGACTGGTTCCAGAGGAGGCGTCAACTTTAGCTGGGATGAAGTCGCAAGCTCTTCACATCGCGAAAACTATCTCGGCCACAGTCTCAAAGCACCTGTTGGACGCTGGCAAAAAGGTCGCGATCTCAACTGGTACGCTAAAGCCGAAGACGACTCTGGAGAACCCAATGAAGATGGCGAGACCGAGGAGGAGCGTCGAGAGAGAGAACGAAAGGAGGAATTGCGCAAAATCAAGGAGGCTGAGGAGGACGCTATCGCAAAAGCCCTGGGTTTGCCACCCCCTGTACGAAACTCTTCTGGTGCGAATGCAGTAGAGGTTGATCCCAGTAAACGAAAGGTTGGTTCGGAAAGCGGCCCTCCTGAGGAAGCTGGGAACGAAAAGAGGGAGAGCTCAAGACGCCATGACGACACCGAGAGACGAGAACGACGAAGGCGTCGAAGTCACGATCGGGGTCATGATCGCGAGCGCCGCCATCGACGACACAGGAGGAGCCGAAGTCGAGACCGTGATGGAGGCAGGGAACGAGATGAGGATGGACCAAGGCACAGACACAGAGATAGGGATGGTGATAGGGAAAGTAGCCATGGCCATAGGCGTCACCGTGAGGCTCATCGAAGAGGAGGTCCTGAGGAAGACGAACGACGACACAGGGATAGGAGCAGGGAACGCCGCCGATCGAGATCGAGAGATAGACGCAGACGTAGTGCCAGTCCTAGGCCTCATCGTCGAGACTAAAGTCACAGCTTCTGGCCTTGAACTCATTAGTCGAATATAAGATACCCCTCCCAGAGAAATCAAGGGAAAGCGTCAAGTCACCATTTGTATCCATCTTGCGTCCAAATCAATGAGTCAATTCTTTGCGCTTCCCATATAGAAGGAAGTTTGCATACTTTTAAAGCTCTCTACCTGACCTAACGCCATACCAAACCACTGTTGTTACACCCATACTATTACACGATTAGGACTGGCTAAGGGGTTGGCCGTCCTTGGCCTTCTGAGCACCGTACTTCTCCAATCGGATAGACTGGATAGCAATGAAGCCAGTGCTGTCCATGGGAGAAAAGGTGTCAAGGCTGTCCATTGAAGCATCCTCCTGGGAGTAGAGGCTGCTGGTCTCGCTGGATCGTCCAAGGACGTAAACATTGCCCTTGTACGCACGGAGGCGGACCTGACCGTTGATACCCTTTTGAGCAGAAACGATTGCCTCATCGAGCCACTCACGCTCAGGGGAGAAGTACATGCCATTGTAAAGGCACTGGGACCACTCGATAGTCACAAATTGATCTCGAAGCTTGCGGACCTTGGAGTCGAGGACAAGACCCTCGAGATCGACGTGAGCAAGGCGGGCGATGGTGAGACCAGGGGTGTCGTAGCATCCTCGGCTCTTGAGCCCAATCCATCGGTTCTCGACACTGTTTAACTGTAAGCATAGTGTTATGCTACAAATCAATGGTGAAAGTGGACGTACATGTCAATTCGGCCGACGCCGTGGTCGTGACCAATCTTGTTAAGCAGCTTGAACAGCTCTACCGAGTCGGTAGCCTCTTGGTCAGGGGTAGCAACCTTGACAGGGAGACCCTTCTCGAAGTACACGGTGAAGTCGAGAGGCTTGTCAGGAGCCTCAAGAGGATCGACAGTCTGGGTCCAAAGGTCCTTAGGAGGAGTGTGATCGGGGTCTTCGAGAATACCAGCCTCGTACGAGCAATGAACGAGGTTCTCGTCTTGGCTCCAAGGAGCCTTGGGGGTCGATGAAACAGGGATGTTGTTCTCGGCGGCGAACTTGAGGAGGTCCTGTCGACCCTGGAACTTCTCACAGAATTCGGGGAGTCGCCAGGGGGCGATGACCTTAATGGAAGGGTTGCAAGCCTTGAAGGCGAGCTCGAAACGAACTTGACTAAGGGGCTCTGTCAGTGATCTATGAATTAGATTTTTTTCGTAATGGAAAGTGTCATACTCGTTCTGCGGCATGTTAGCAGGTGGTTCTCAAAGTCTGACGGTTTTACTTACGCCTTTGCCTGTGCAGCCGTGGCTCAAAAGATTGCAGTTGTACTTCTCAGCAACGCGGACCTGGGCGCGAGCGATGACAGGTCGGGCCAGAGCAGTTCCAAGGAGGTATCGGTCCTCATAGATGGCATTGCACTGGATTGCTCGGAAAACGATCTGCTCGACGAACTCCTTCTGAAGGTTCTCGATGATCATGCGCTCCGCGCCGAGAGCGAGGGCCTTCTTTTCGACAGCATCGAAGTCCTCGACCTGACCAACATCGGCGAGGAAGCACTAAAGAATGTCAGATTGAACCTGGAGAAGCAGCTGGAGGAGTTTCACATACCACAACCTCATAGCCCTCGAGAATGAGCCATTTTAAGATAGTCGAGGTATCGAGACCTTGGCTAAATGTTAGCAATAAATCTCACATTTAATCACTCCAGGTGCAGTTTGGAGAAAGAGTCAGAAGTGTATACCTCCAGAATAGGCACTGCAATCAAGAGTTAGCGGATGTTTTTTATATCAGCAGCCTATCATCAACGGCATATAAACTTACAGACAAACACGGCCTTTTGACATTGTGAAGTCGTTTTGTTGTGAGGTGTGCCGTTATTTGGCCAAGATGAAGAGAAATGGTGATGTTGAGCAGCAGGCTTCGGTGTGTGCAAGTGTTTGAGTTTGAGCAAATGGTCAAAGGGAAATAACATATATTATATACTACGAATTTGACTCACTTCGAAATACCGTTCTCCCATACAAAAAGCAAAATCTTAACTCGGGCATGCACCCAGCCGTGCCTATCACAAAAACAGTGATTCACTTACAAGACTTCGGCCTCCGACTCCGGACTCGACGAACTATCTACAAAAACGACCCCAGAATTTACCAAGATAGAATTCAGTTACAGGCTTGGCAATTCCTTGATAGGGAACGAGTCATAGCTATTTGTTGGGGGGGAAGAAATCACCATCAATGGTCCCATTTTGAGCTGCGAATTCGGCAGGCTAAGGCGATCGTTGACTCAATATCAAAAATTTCGATGGATGGATCTAAGCACGGCCCTGGCTACCTGGTCTAAGTTGACGGGATCCATGACGGGTAGCAGCGGTGATCCTTTTTTCGACAAGGCCCACGACAGCTTATGTTCGTTGGAAAATGCCTAGAAATGTATGTAAGTCTAATGCACCTAGTCTCTCGAGTCTCAGTAATGACGGGAGTTTTATCAATCTGGACGATGCATCCTGCAAATAGCGTTGCACAAAGCTTTCAGTTTCAGTCAAATGCACTCTTGAGAGACCGTCGATTCTTCAAGATCTCCTCCAGCAGCAACATTTCCAGTCCATTAAAGAAAAATGTTACTTAATGAAGCCTCAGATCCTCCATCTTAAAGTAATCGGACTTTTGTACAAACGGGAGTACGAGGTCCAGTAATCTACCACAAAAATTAGTGGTGATGATAATTAGAGCTGAACTTAGCGGCGAGGCTGCCCCAGATCACTGTATCTTCCCAGCGCGACGGCATGTGGTGAGTCGATATCCATCTTGATTGGCCAGAGTCAGTGGACAACGTCACTTTCAGGGACCACCTCTAACAGCCTCGGGGTCTTTATTGTACCACGGGTTTGAGATCATATGAACGATGAAACCGTCTTCATACATCATCTAGACTTCTGATTTCTCAACGCCATCCCCTTTTGCCACACTGTTTGCTTCCTATTGTGATTCTGTCACATCCCCCTATGTGCTTGGGGTTTGATAAAACCTAATACCGTTTGCCACCTCTCACCGTCGTACGTAGTCGCTGTCTGCCTTGCTTATACTCCAAGGCCACTTCCTTAAACTCGTTCACAGAAAGTATCATTACTAACGAACAACAGATTAGAGGTGTCTCTTTCTCTTTTCTGGACATATATCTTCCAAAACCTTACCCTCCCGTCGACACAAGAATGCACGTATAAACAATCACAATCCTACCACGATGGACTATTCAAGACTACGAGCCGCCGCTCTCCGCGATGGCGAAGACGAGGAAGCCGTTACCGTCGATACTCGAGCTCTTATCGACAAAGTTCTTGCGCGATACTCCGGCGAATGGACAACATTACGAGAACTAATTCAGAACGCTGCGGATGCCCAGGCAAAGACGGTCAGCGTCAAATGGGAAACTCTCCCATCAACACAGGTGCCACTACCGAATACCACGAGCCGATCCGAGATACTGAAACACACCTTGTCAAACCATACACTTCGCCGATTAGTCGTGCAGAACGATGGACAGCCCTTCACAAAGACAGACTGGGGAAGACTAAAGCGTATTGCCGAGGGCAACCCCGACGAAACAAAGATCGGTGCCTTCGGTGTCGGTTTCTACAGTGTTTTCGCTGATTGCGAAGAGCCGTTCGTCAGCTCCGGCAATGAGGCCATGGCATTCTACTGGAAGGGAAATGCACTTTTCACAAAGAAGTCTCAAATTCCAGCAGATCAAGCTACCCATCATACAACCTTCGTCCTCGACTACAGAAATACAACTACACCCCTCCCGAACTTGTTGTCTGTCAGCCAGTTCCTTGCGACGAGTTTGACTTTTGTTGCGCTCGAGCACATTGAGTTCTGGATTGATGACTACCAGATTCTGTCTCTGAAGAAAAAGTCATCTCCGAGTGTTGAACTTCCTCTTCCTCGCGACCTCGAGGCGAGGACAAAGGATGGCCTAATGAAGGTTACTAGCGTTGACCGCACAAGCACACAGATCGATGCGTCTTACATGGCCGCCATAGGATGGAAACCACAAGCCACGACATCCACCACAAAGAACGAGTCCTACGGTGCCCCTGAAACTCCTTCCTTAAGATCCTTCTTTGCCCGTCTTACGTCAAGTGCGTCACAGGCAGGCATTAGGACAAAAGCACAGCACGAGGAGAATGCTGCGCAAGTGACGATTTCCGAAGATGTGACTAAGCTTTCATCCTCCACAATCTTCCTTCGGGCGACTTCTGCAAGTATTCGTACAAGCGTAGCCTCATCCTTTGCTTCCGAACTCGAAAGAGCGACAAAGAAACCCCCGCCAAAGACAACCAAAATCGCCATCCTAACTTCGTCCTATGATGAGACTCAAGCTTCGCAAGAGGCCGCAACATCGGGGGCGCTTGGCAAAGCTACAGATGTCTTTGCATCTGTGCTTCCCAATAAAAAGCCGGGCGGTCGCATCTTCATTGGCTTTCCCACCATGCAAACTACCGGAGCTGGACTCCATATTTCAGCACCGTCAGTGATTCCCACTGTGGAAAGAGAGGCTATCGACTTGAATGCTCGTTGGGTCAGGACATGGAACCTTGAAATTCTTCGTGCTGCTGGTATCATTACTCGACTTGCCTTTGCCAACGAGATGAGTGACCTGAGTAGCCGGATCAAACAGGTTATGGCCAAAGAGACCAAATTCTCTCCCGCAGTCATCGCCAAGTTCATGCCAGAAGCTCTTCACATTCACAAGACCTTCACATTTGAGGACTCAACTCCCAGCAGTCAAGTTGGTCAGATTATTGAGGAAGCTTTTTGGATGTGCTTTAAGAAGGCCTCAATCGAGACCTACTCAACACGAGGCGTGTTGCAAACAGTCGATGTGCGCATTGCTTCGGATGAGATGAGTAAATTCGTCAACAGCATCCCTGTTGTACCTGAGGAGATGAAGGGTGTCCCATTCGTGAAAAAGCTCATAGACTTCGGTCTTATTTCACACATCACAGTCACAGATGTGAAGAAGGAGCTGGAGACAAAGGCTATGAACAAAGTTCAATTGATGAACTTCATCAGTTGGGCAGGCAAGAAGAGCTTGAGTGGTGAGCTCGATCCTGGCAGTCGATCTGCTTTGCTTGAAGTAGCTGTTGGCACGATGAGTGATGATGGGGAACAAGGCGAAATAATTGCCCTCGGTAGCATCCGGAATCACCTCATCGCGAACAGAATTCCTGCCAACTTGCCCATTCCTCCTACCACAATCCCTCATGCGCTCACTGCCAACTCTCAGCAGGCTGAATTGCGTGCTTTAGGATGGGAGCCGCTAGAAATTCTCCCATGGTTGAGATTCCTTTTGGACACAAATTCTTCTAGATCCGAGGAACAGAACTTGACTCAATCATCCAAGTTTGCCATTCAGGTTTTGACTGTTCTTTCGAAGAACTTTGAAAACTCGAGCCCGAACGCAAGAACCACCATCGTTTCTCTTCTTCAAGCAAACACAGTTGTGCCTACGAAGCAGGGTATGAGAAAGCCCACTGAGTCCTTCTTCCCGATTGTCAAGCTTTTCGACGATCTTCCGGTCATTCAAGGTTGCGAGAAGATCAAGGAGAAATTTCTGGTCACCATTGGCGTCCGCAAAACAGTAGATCTCGAGACCATCTTTACCAGGCTGTTGAACGCCTCTAGTGAAGGTCATCAGAAATGGAGTCACATGGAACTTATCAAATATTTAGCATCTGTCCGCGAGGATATCCCGGGTGAAGACCTGAGCAAGCTAAAGCAGACACGCTTTTGCCCAGCCGAAGCTGGTCCAAAGGGAATGGAGTCCACCAAGGGAACAACAACGCTTTACAAGGTTTCGGAGCTATTCGAGCCTAAGGACTCTTTGCGTGCTTTGCGATTACCTATACTCCAGTGGCCAGGGCCTCCTGGTAGCTATCGACCTGGAAGCCCAGAAGCTCGGTTCATAAATTCTCTTGGGCTACGGCCTTATCCATCTGTTCCTGAACTCGTTGAGCTGATGTCTGGCAAGGATGAAAGTCTTCGCGTTTCGTCCATGACATATTTCCTCGCCAACCACCAGATAAATGGGTACGGATCATTCCAGCTTGGTGGTAGTCCTAAGGCAATCATGCCTCTTCAGGGTAGTACCCGTCTTGTACTGCCTTCGCAGTGCTTTTACAATCCGCGAGCGTCTATCCTTGGGTTTAACATCTTGAGGAGAGATCTACACGACCATGCTATTGTAAGTTTGATCTAAAACTTGACAAAGACTCAGCTAACATCTATAGAAATTCGGTGTTGCACGAGATCCGCCAATGGTGGACTGTGTGAACCGCCTTTTAGCATCGCCTCCTCAAGATCATCAGAATGCTGTGGCACTTTTCAGCTATTTCGCCTCTCGAATCACAGAACTCGGCGAGAATAACCTGGTCAAATTGCGTAACGCCTCGATAGTTCCTATCACAAGGACTACTCGATCGTCTGAGAAATCAACTTCTTCCATGACTCATGTCAGTCCTTCACGGGTGTACCTTGGGGCTTCGACTACATATGGAGACATCTTCGATTTTGTCGACTTTGGCCCTGAGGCGAATGCATTCTTGTTCCAATGTGGTGCCAAAAGTGAGCCCACCAAGTTGGAGGTTGCGCAAATGGCATGCAGTGAGCCAGCCCGTCTCCTCGGTGTTTTACAGAGTTCGGAGAAGTACCTGGATCTTCTTAAATCCTTAGCAGAAGCATCCTCAACACTCCACCGAGACAAAGAATTGTGGAGGAAAATGCGTACAGCGCCCTTCCTTCTTGCATACAAAGAACTCGCGCCCCCTAAGGGGAAGTCGGACGACCTAGAGGAAGAGGATGAACCTATTCGACAATACCAGCTCGCCTCAGCTGGCCAAATAGTGATCCTGGATGATATCATCAGCTACAGATTGTTCAAAGATCGCCTTATTTGTGCACCGGAAGAGGATGCGCTTGAAGAATTCTATCTAGCACTTGGTGCTCAGAAATTGAGCAGTGTTGTTCAGGAGGAGGTCAGAATTGGGCCCCATAGTGATAAACAAAAGGCTGCACTCAGTCTCCGCAAGCATGTTGTCGAGAGATCGAAGATCTTTCTCTTTGAATACACAAACTACCGACGCGATGCTATCAAGCATGACGTAAAATGGCTGGACAAGAACCTTACGGTCCACATTGTTCGCTCAGTGGCTTTGAGAAGGACTCTCAAGGGCCAGTATCAGACTCATACGGAGAAGCGATCAGCTGCGAGTGAAAAGACCAGCAACGGCTGGGTTCTTTATGTTTCTGATGAGTCGAAGCCCGATATGTACCAGATCGGTCAAGCCATCTGCCAGATGCTGCTAAACCGCCCGAATCAGCAGGCTTACCTATTCTTTGAGCCATTCCTAACGCTCGATCTTTACGGTTTGAGAAATCGCGGTTACAATGTCGATCGTATCC